TCAAAGGTTTTCTGTTTCGTTCACATTTTAACAGGAGGGAATTTGCACTTGATTGCTTTGAACACTTCCTAAGTTTGGCCAGCTATCTATGTATTTATTTTTCTGTTCTAGTGAGGGAAAATGGGAATTTAAAATGTATGGAGCCAGCAGAGGTTTAGCTGTGATTTGTTTCTAATGTAGAGGAAAATTGCCCAAGTAATCTTATCCCATTCATACAACTAATATGGCCATGAGGCTCTGATGTGTTGAACAGTAAACACCACACAACATACCCTTAAGAACTGTGGCTTAAAAGATTTCTTATTTTCCATCACACGCTTCCAGCTTTCGATGAATAAATATCAGGTCCTGCTTGCACTAACGTCCATGGGAGTTTTCATGGGCTTAAATGAGAGTAATAGAAGTTCCTGGTTTATAAGCATATTTTATAAAAATGATAGTTATTATGCATTATGGAGTTAAATGGTAACACTGGGTAGCTGTGTGAGGGAAAAAAATTCTGATACAAGCTAGCTACAACAGCCAATTCAGATTGAGAATGTATAAACCCACAATCAACATTTGGGCAAGGGAGGCCATGCATTCTCCAACAAATGAGGGCTTGATATATGGAATAAATTCTTGCTATATTTTCTAATAACCAAAAATTGAGATACCCATGCAGGGAAATGCTCTGACCTGTGTGATACAGGAGACACTTTAGATGAATGTGGCAATTCGTTTGGGCTTCATAGCTATCAACTGGGTCAGCTCAGTCACACCTTCACCAACGTGATCTTAGAGCAAATTTAGATATACATGCATATAGAGAGGGATGCACACATCCAAACCCAGGACTACTTGTTGAGAAGATGCAGAAAATGAGGAGGGCTTGAGAATATGAGGGAGAAGAAGATTTACATGTATCACCTTCCATACAAGACCAGAAGAAGTCAAATCTTGTCTCATCGTCATCATTGGTGCAATTTGCACCTGCCACACACTTAAATCTCTTTAATCATTGTGAAGCACATAGGTTAGGATTGAACACAGTCTTCACAGAATTTTAGTGACCCTCCTAATCTTTTTAATCAAAATATCTTGTGATATTTGGCTACAGTATTTCACCCCTGACACCAAGCAAATTGTTAAATGGTAATTTAACACATCATCTTGCAGGACTTTTAATGGATCCAAACTCATACCTTTCCTCATCCTTTTGCAATGGTGTGAGAAATAAGTAGTTGATTAACCTGGGCCCTTGAGAAAGGATGGGTTTAGGCACTATCTCCGCTGAATTTTATATTGATATTCTGTAAAATTCTTCCCTGAATAAACAAATATTAAATGTTGCTCGTTCATCCGATGAAATCTACACATGGTTTGAGTACAAGCCTGTTTCTTATATGCCATTACCTCCTTTGCCACATCCCCACAATTCCTTTGAATCTTCTCCAGATCCAGTGGCTGTTGAATTTACATTCTTCTCTGGGCTGTTAATGAGTATATTGATTAATACTGGCTCCGGTATCAATCCCCATGGGAGACCAATTGATACTTCCCTCTCTTTTGACACAAAGCCATTGATGATAAGTCATTGGCTCCTAGCTGTTGGATAGATTTTTGTCTACCTTATTGTGTTATTATGCAGGCTATGCAACTCCAGCTTTCCTATTGAGCTCATGGGTAGAACAAAACTAACAATTTACTAAAAATCCAACTATGTTATGTCTGCCTTAATTAATTTCTCAGTATAATTGGGCCTGAGCTTCCTTTCACAGGCCTGTACCAGCTATTACATGCTTCCACATAATCTTGACCATTTCTGTCAGGTTTTGTTTCTATAGAATCATGGAATAATTTAGGATGGATGTCACCTGTTCCAAGCTCTGGCTCGGAACAGGTTCTGTTGGATCAGATTGGTCAGGGTTGTGTTCAGTAAAGTCCTGAGCACCTGAGAGGTGTGGCTACACAAGCTCTCTGGGTAACATGCCCATTTTCATGTCCTGTGATTCTTTTTGTGCATTTCATGGCATTATCACACACCAGTTCCAGCTCCCACACTGGTGGGCAGCAGATACAGCAGTGCCTGTTTCCCTTTCTCAAAGGCAGCATCTTGATGAGGACTGAGTCCCCATTTCAAATTTCAGTGGATCCACACACATTGGGACAGTAGAATGGACCCACCAGATCAAAGAACTACCCAGGACATCCCTGCTGTGCTCTGCCAGTGCCAGCTCCCCCGTGGACCTGTCCTTATCGAGCACACTCAGCACAGCTTACGTAAATATTTGCTCACTTTGGAGCAAATACTCCTTATCCAATTGTCTTCCTAAGCGATGAGGATGTGGGCACAGAGCCCCTTCTTAACTCCTCTGACATGATAAGCATTCAGCTCCAGTAACTGAGGCCTGGTACAGTCAGAGCTCTTACAGGGGAGGAGTGCTTAAGCAAATTGTATCTCAATGGAATCAATAGGACTTTGGCACTTGCTGAATGTTTAAGCACGTGCTGAAGTGTTTACTATTCAGCCCCTCATTTAGTTCCCATTTAATTAAACAGAATCAGATTCTCACAGAAGTAAATCACAGGAGTTTCTCCCAAAGGAGTTTTCCCAGTTTGCAATAATTGAAGAGTTGTCTAATGTCCCAACTCTACATCTTTTTTTTTTTTTTTTAGACGCTCCTCTGTCTGTCTACCCAACCTATATTATTTTCACCTCCAAAATTATAAACTATTCAAAGGAGAGATGCTGTCAGAAGCAGCCAAAAGGGACACAGGTTTCCTCAGTTACAAATGAAGTTCTGAGCCTTTGGTAAATGAAATGAAACTTTTCTGATGTAATTGTTCTTCAAGTCTAAGCTGATATAAGCATCTCTGCTTCTCCTGATACAGGTAAGGATTTCTTTGGAAGTTTAGTGCTCCCACTCCAGATAAAAGCAAGTCATTTGCTGCTTTCATCATGTCACTACTAATTTCCAAACAGTCAAACCTGCTGCTAATTTATTTACTGAACACTGAAGCCCTGTTAGCAGGGGCTGCTACTGAAACTGCTTTCTGGCCTTCGGCTTTTGTTTGTTGACAGCCTGATTTCCCAGTAGGCCATTTCCACCTGTGTTTCTGTTGTTTTTAGTGCATGTCTTTCTTTCTTCTTCCCAGTGAGTGTCTCCCAAATGGCTCCTGAAGGGTTTCTCATCTTCCCTCGCTCTCTCATCCCCTTCTCCCTCCCAGCTGCAAGGACTCTCAGCTCTGCTTTCAGTCATTCTGCAGTTAGTGGTTGTCTACACTGCTGAGCTCCCATGGGGCACTAATTTTTGTTTCAAGGACAAGATTCAAAAGAGTTTGCTACACACAGGTTGCAGGGTGCACCTTCAGATGTGCCTTCAAATAGACTTTGGAGATTTGAATATATGAGCTTTTGAAAATCAGTTTTTAAATTGCAAGGGAGGCCTATTAAGTGCTGTAAATTTTTTTTTTCTTTTCTATTTTAAAAGCTGCATTAAAAAAAGTGATTTTTTTTCCTTCCTTTCTCCCATGACATTGGGTGGAAATAGAAGTTAGGAAACTGCCATTTCCCTTTAACTTCATGCATATCAAAGGCAGAGAGATGACAGGATAAAATGATTCAGAGAGTGGCCGGCATACTCGGTGTCTGGAGGAGCCAGTAAAGAAAAATATTGAGATGTTTCAGTGGTTTCTTTGCAACAAGTCAGTGTGCCAGGAGCTTTAAGTGTGCAAGAAACGTTCTAAGATGATTTCCATGAATAGAAAAATTCAGAGGCTGCACAGGTCTAAGGATTTATATCTCAAGATGTTATTCTAATTTTGCATTTCTTGATACACCCTTTATTTCATATGTAATTTCTGGTTTACACTTAATTTATCTTAACCACAGCAATGTTTAAGTCTTGATGAGCTCCATTTTGAGAGGACCCGTTGATACTCACAGCTACTGTCTGGTACACTGGGCTTCAAAAATTCTCCTTTGCTTGCATGTTAAATTCAAATGGGATTTTATGCCTCAATTTTGAAGTGTTGGTTTCTAATAAAGTCCATTAAACTCAATAAAACTGCTTGTCTTTTGGCTTAAGCTTGGAACTGCAGACTGGGGGAGTCTGCTGGTTAAAACTGGTGGGCCCTTGATTTCTCAGACTGGATGTTTATGTCTAGTCAGCACTTCTGATTTTTTTTCTCCCTACTTTGCCTCAGTTTCTCACTTTTAAAACAAAGGTGGCAAGACTGTCCTGCCCCAAATAGGCACTGAAATTGTTCAGAAACAAATATTGGTGTGAGAATTTTCAAAACATCCCTGGAGCAGAGCTCAGGGAGTGAAGCTCTGCTGCCCAGTGCTGTGCCTGGAGGCCACCCCTGCACACACAGCCAGGGGCTCAGCACTGCAGCTACACTCTACTGACCTTGAGTGAGTCTCTCAGCTGCTGTGTCTCTCCATTTCCCAATAATACTGCAATAAGACTAATATTTACTTTCCTCACAGCCACATAGTAGTCAGAATGAATTAATGTTTATAAAGGACTTGGGAGTCCTTGGATGAATGGTCCCACAGAAGTGCTAAGCAGAGCGTGCATTGTCATTTCCTTGTAGATAAATACATATCATTTACATGGCTGTACAGAGCTGTTCACACAAGCATATGCAATGTCTCATCTCAGTGCACTCAGGGTAGCACAGGATATAAGAACAAACTCAACAGTCCTTGACAATTCATGTCATTTTGCTTTGAAATGAGTATATTTTCTGTGAGAACAGAGCTTATCATGTAATCTCCAATGAAAGTTATGTTCTGCCTTTTTACAGTTGCCATGATGCAAATGTCATTTGTACTCTCCTTCTTTATGAAAGTTAACAGTTATTTAAGAGATCAAAGTTAATTATCACTAAGGAGATCATTTTTACCTATCAACCCACTTTTGTAACCCCACTATCACAAGTAGAAGCTTTATGCTAATCAGTTTTCTAATTTCCATAAATTACTGATAGAATTACTTTTTTTTTTTTTACAGCATGAAAGTAGATCTGTTGGTGAAAGCTCTTGAGAGGTAAAAAGACAGAGAGAAAATGAGGTAAGGTGCATTTTCAAGAGTTTACCAGCTGAATGTGGTACCAAGAAAATAAAATCCAAATCATTAGTTTCATCACACCACAAAACTTGTGGATGCTGCAGCTTCCCTGCACTGCAGAAATCTGATGCACACACATTGTTTCAATTTAACATGGTGATAGAATGGAAGTGAACGTGAGGATCACCGTGTGACCCTATTACATGTGAAGTGTCTCTATTAGAGCTGCAGAGACAGCATGCCAGAGGAGCTGAAATGTGTTGATAGAAACAAACAGATATACCTGTTTAAAAGCAGCAGTCAGAAACTCTGCAGTGTGATCCAAGCATGTTCTGCTGGAGAGGGCAAAGTAGTCTATCCTAGGGGAAGAGGATATTAAGAAAGAAACCCTTTCCACTCCATCACAGCCCTTTCTGTGCACTGAGCTTGCCAAATGGAAGCTGCTGCTGCTGCTGTGGAAGTTGTTACTGCTATGACTGACAGCTGCTGCAAAATAACCTCAGCTACAGCATGGAAGGAACAATAAGAACTCAAAATGAAACAGATGCGGATATTTTGGGTATCCCCTTGGTCTAAAAGTTGAGTAAAATAATTGCTTAGTAATTAACAAGCTTGTTGCTAGGCTGCTGCAGCCTTTTAGACTGATGCTGATGAGTTCCAACATAAATTAAATTGTCTCCAACGCAGAGTCTACAACCTAATGTTGTATCCATGCCTCACCTGAACGAATCCACACTTGTGGAGCCTCATCTGGAGTTGGCAACAGAGCAGTTCAGCTTCCAGTGGGCATCAGCAGATTTCTGCTTGACCACTACTCCCTAGAATAAGGAGGGACCTGAGTTGTCATTTTGGTCACATTGGAATGCCAGCGTCTCCTGTCCTTGCCTCTGTACCTGTGGCAGTTCCCACAGCAGCATTTTTAACCAAGTTGAAGAGTCCAGCTGTTGCTCTTCCAGGTGCCTGAAGCACTTTCCTTGTCCAGGAAGGAACTGGCAACAAGGCAAAGCCCAGAGAGCCCAGTGGCATCAACAGGGCCACATCCCCTCTGCTGCCACAGGCACCCCACATCCCCCAGGCACTGTCTGGGCAGCCCCACAACCCCAACAGGTTCCAGAGCTAAATGCAAGGGACACCTGAAAGCACCCCAGGAACAGGCAGCCACAAAGGAGTGTGAAAGGACCTGAGCTTCCCCCTGGCTGTGAGGTTTTGTGTCTCTTCTTAGAGAAAAGCAGCACAAAACTACATTCTCTCCTGGCTTTTTATTCCTCGACCTTCACCTCTCTGGCATGCACACACCTATTTCTCTTCAAACGCAGGAGCCACCCCACTGAAGTCAGCAGGACTCTCCTGGTGCTTCAAGCCAAGCATGCATATGCCTGGATCCAGTTGATATTTACAGAAGGCTCCTTTTGAATTGGCTTTTGATTATACCACCTGTGTCAGAGGGTTGTTCCTTATTGCATTTGTGGATAGCGGGATCAGCGTGACTTGCTTCCACGTGAGAAAGATGGCAAAAGATTGCAAATATAACCTTTAACATTGCAGGCCTTTTTTGACTGCCATGTACTGCACTGAACGGTGTATTTGTGGTTGAAAGGGAGCATAAACTATGATGCAGAACACTAAAGGATTGAGAAAATGTAACCTTTGAGCGGGTGGTTTGAGTTTTATTATCCCATTTATTTATTCTGCTGGATATCTGTAGGATAATATGATCAATGAGTTGGAATCCTTCTTGTTTCTACCAACAACAAATCAAACCATTAATAGGCCAATAAAACCCCGGGATTTGGAGAGAGGGGAGGAGGGGAAGTAATTGCATTGTTCTGATGCTAACGAGGCACATCTATCTTGAAATAACTGATTAAAGCTGGTGTTGACACAAGGCCTTTGCACAGAAAAGGCTCAGAACAAGGTGTGTAGTGCTGGGGTTCCAGTGGCAGCTCTGTGTTTTCTGTGTGTGCTGTGGGATGTGGGAAGCACCTGTCTGGGGGGGTTTATCCTGCTTAACCCTCTCTGTGCACCACAGGGACAGGCTGGCAGTGCAGTGGGGCAGGAGCATGCAGGGTTCACGGGGCATGATGTGTGGCTGATAAATAGTTCCACAGCTGTGTGATTGCATAATGATAGCCACATTCATTCACCTGCCTATCAAAAGCGATGCATTAAAGTTTGAGCTCTCTTCCCCAGGGTCCACAGAGAGACATTTGAGTGTTAGCTTATAGTCTTTAACATTCCTCCTAGCAGTGGGCTAAGTGCAGTGGGGTTAAACAGAGTCCCTTTTGCTTAGTAACCCATTAGCTAATGGGTGTGTAAGCCCATCAATTTGCTGTTTATTCCCTAACCCCATTAGGGTACACCTGCTGTGCATAAAAAATACACCTGACAAATCAGAGTGATAGTTGAAATAAAATAAATATCAAGTGTTGTTATAGCTGATCCATAGTGTTTAAGGCAGAAAGGGCATAACAGTGATTTGTGATGGCAGAACAAAATAGCTCGTGCTGGCTCATGGTAGCTTGAGCAGGTTGATATAAATCCCCCTGCCATCACCTGTAGGCTCCAGAACTCAGCTGCCTCTTTGCCCAGCCCCAGGGACCCCTCCAGAGGGCTGGAGTTCACCTTCAAACGCCATCTCCAAGCACCTTCTGCAGAGCCACAGTGCTGCTAAGTGATAAATTAATTATTTGGGGGAGGGAGGGTGAGAGTTCACAGGCTGCTCTCCTGCGAAGGCAGCCAGCAGCTTCAAATCTGTCTCCAATACCAGGCCATTTGTTTTGTCACTTCATGGGCTTTATTTATTTATTTATCTCGCAGCTCGCCCTGTGATTAAAACTGTTGAGACAGCTGTTAGCTGGTAGCAACTTTCCTGTTGCTGCTTCCTGCCATCAGTCAGGGGCTGAGGGGGTGATGGGAGCTGCCCTGAGCTGCCCCTCTGGGCCAGGGGCAGGAGCATTCCCAGCCCCCCTGTCCCCATCCCCAAGGTCTGCTGCAGCCCCACAGCACAAATAGAAACTCCAGCAATGAACCTGTGGAACTCGCTGCCCAAAGGTGTTACTGAAATGAAGGTATTAGCAGAAAATGTATTAAAACAGGGGGATGTTCTTTTGTTTAAAAAAAAAAGAACACCATCACCACCGACTGGGGAGGATGATGACAGTAAGGTGAGCAAGGGCTCAAGGTGGTAAAAAATGAATGGGATTTGAATGAGCCAGGATTGGGCTTTATGGAGAGGAGCTGGATGCCCTCTGCCATCAGGGTGCTGAGCAGCCAGGCCAGGGAGGGCAGGTGGAGAACACACAGGCAGAGAATTTTTAACATCTGGGATAGCAGAGAATGGAGAAGTATTCCAATCTCTGTGGTGGGGAAATATGCCTAGAAAGCCTCTCAGGCTGAAGAAAGCTGAGAACCAGGTCTGGGCAGGCGGTGTAACCTCAGGTGTGCAGGGGGCTGTGACCACAAACACTTCTGCTGAAGAAAACAAATGTACAGGCTTTCTGCAATCCCTTAGGGCTGGCAGTGCTGGCAGAGACAGGGCCACTCATGGCTGCTAAACCCATAGCTGGGCAAGCTGAAAAGCTCAATTGTAGTTAAAAACAAAAAGAGGGTGAGTGAGAAGGAGAGACCAGGCCAGCCCTGCCCTGCAGTGGAGCCAGTGAATTGCCAAAAGTCTCAGACAGCGTTAAGGCGATGGAGAGAGAGTTTTGGGTTGCCTGAACTAGATTGCAAGTGCTGCTGATGCACCAAGGAGCAGTGATAAAATGAACAAAGCAAGTCATTGCTCTTGGCTTGCATTATCCACAGGCTTTGGCATTTTCCAGCCCAGTGCCTGTCTCTGCCTTCCTGGCCCACTGCTGCTCTTACTTTTACATTATGACTGTCGAGGAGTGTATCATTCATAACATCCCTATCACAGAGAGATTCCTTTTTAAATGCTTGGGGAGATGGAGGGCTACAAACCCTGGGAAATCAGCTATACCTAATATATTATGTAGAAGTTCTGTAATCATTATTGAACTAAAGTGCATTGAGTAAGTGGATAAAATCAGTCCCACTGTAGCATAAGTCTCCAGAGATCACAGATAAAAATGCCTCGCACTTAAGCAGAAAAAGGTAACAAAATATTTCCAGTCCCAGCAACAGCATTTTCCCCTCTATATAAATAGGGAACCCTCAGGAGAAGGCAATGATGCAGCAGAGGTTGAAGGCAAAGTTAATGGTGGTGGTGAGGTGGGGGAGCGAGGCAGTGCCTGGGGCAGGCTGGGTGAGCAGCGTGAGCAAAGCTCCGTGGAAAGGGGCAGAAGGCAGAGCCCCCCCTGGCAGGGCTCTGGGCAGGGAGACATGGGCAGGACCCTGCGAAGCTGGGGGGCACACTGTGGGTCTGGCATGGAGTGGAAATGGATTTTTTTTGTGCTCTGTTTTTTCTCTAGACTCTGCAGAAAAGTCAATTTTCATGACCAAGGTCACCTCAGGCCTTGCTTCCCGTGGCTCTCAGTTCCCCACCTGGGCACAGGCAGGGGCACAAACACGGCTGCATTTTTGTGCCTCCTGTGCTAAGGTCTGCCCTGAGCTGCTGCCCCCCTGCCGGGAGCCAAAGAGGCATCCTCAGTGCTGAATTTATCCTGAGTTATTCTCAACCAGATAACTGAGCCCCTGGGAGCTGAACAGACCTCCAACATCATCGGCCCTTCCCTTTTTCATGCATTGGCCGAGAGCTGCCAGGCTGCAGTGAATCACCTCGGCACGGTGAGACTCTCTTGTAAACCTGCTAAAACTTTTGTAAAGGCTTACAGTACAGGATACATTTTGGCATGAATGAATGTGGGAAAATGAGGGATTCATATTATTTAATGAAAAAAAAAGGGAAGCATTTCATTCCCTTATACAAAGCAGAGTTAAGTTTGACTGGCCTATATAGAACAGAGTTTATGATATGTTTCAGGAAAGCATTAAATGATCATCTAAATATTTTTTTTCATTGAGTTCTTTATGTGTACATACACATTAATGAGGAATTTTGGGTTTTTCATTGAAAATAAGGGGGAAAATTTGTGTTAGACCACTGTGTTTGCTATTCCTGTGGTAGGCCCACATTAAAAAAAGCCACCTAGAGCTGCAGTCCCTGCTGTTAGGCTGTGACCTGGGTAGTCACTGGCATTCAGGTCCTGGAATTACTTTATTAAAGTTTTCTAGGATGTGTGTTGTTTCTCATGGCCTGCCAATCACATTGGAGCAGTGCCATAAGTTCTGGTCTAGCTCTGTCCTCAAGGGCACCAAGGGGAGGAAGAGAGAAGAGGGCTGTGGAGTTGGAGCTATTACTTATTTATCTGAACTATCGACCTGAACTCTGCTACTGAAATATCAGCATTAGATGCTGGGGAAAAGGAGTGCCAGAGCCAGCACCTGCTGGGAAGTACAAGAAACAGAGATGTCCAATGGGGCCCAAATCAGTCTTTGTTTCATGGAGACAATGGTGCTGGGACAGGCAGGAGTTGACAGGAAGGAGTGAGTACAACTGGTGAGTGGACAAGGAGGCACTAAGCAGCTGGCCAAGTCTCAAGGAACTCAGTGTCAGGTGCTCAGCACCTCTGGGATGTGCCTTCATTGTATTTAGTGACTTGAAATGTTCACTGTTAGGATCTGCCCATTTTTATTAGTACAGTGATAATTGTGTTTGTGAAGGGAGAAGAAGTGAGTAGCAAGTGAAGCTTCTGTAATGTTGCTGTGGATGGGGAATGTGGTTTTTGCTGAAGCACTTCCAAAAACTTCCGTCCTGTGGAAATGAATGAGTCTGGAGCAAGAGTTGGGGGCCAGGGACTCTGTGGGAGGCTGTGACCCACCTGCAGCACAGCAGCACCACGGGAATATTTGCGAGAGGACTGGGGAGCGAGGGGCAGTAAACAGGAAGGAGCTCAGGAAATCAAGGGAATAACATCAAATGAGTCTTCAGCTGCCTCATGCAATGACAGAAGATACAGGGGCTGTGGTGCTAAGCAGTGTTACATAAATGATTACACAACACTACTGTGGCAAGAGCCTAGAGAGACTCTAAAGGGAATAAGCAGACACACAGACACAGCCAGGAAGCTGACAGTGAAGGCATCTTGTCTTGCCAGTGTTTCTTTAATAAAAATTAGAGACATGCCCACACAAAATTACAGTCAGCACCACTGCCAGAGCAGACCATTCAGTGAAAATGACTTCTAGGGTGGATAAAAAAATGAAAGAAGTTACTAGGTCAGGGGGTAGCAGTGAGGCACATCATTATACACCTGATGTCACATCTCCCTGTGTTGTGACAGATGACAGGTCCCTCCCTTTGGGCACAGGACCCACCATGGGCCATGTGTCTCACTCAGCCACAGCTGGATGTGCACCCTGCACCTGGTCCTCATGCTTTGGGTTTCAGAGGGTTTTATTCTGGCACCAGAACCTCTATCACAGCACTGTCCCCCAGCTGAGCTCAGTTTGGACTCTCAGACACCACTGGGGCTGCCCAGCCTCGAGCTCAGCAGCCTCCTGCCATCCTAGCCCACCTTTCTTGTGAAATATGACTCAATTTAAATACCAAATAAATCCATTGTCTCTGGATCCAAAAGGCTGAAGCAGAACTCTTGTTCTGCTGTACATATTACAGGTTATACTACATCCTGAATTTAATCCCTCAGCCTGCTTGCTTTTCAGATACTGACCCAACATCTTTGTAGTGAGCTGAGCACTCACAGAACCCTCAGCTTCAGTGAGAGCTGCCAATATTCACACCATTTGAAAGAGAACCAGGAGAGTTATCTCAGACAGAAAAAACAGATCTCTTGTGCTGACAGAATAAACACATTTGGGGTCTGACTTTGCCAACATCTCTCCTTTCTCAAACTACTGGAGTGGGTCTGCTCACATTTAAGAGATACCCAACACTTCGCATTGCAAGAAGCCACTTCCAGCTGCTTATGTTTTAGCAACTTCATTTTTTTAAAGTAAATTTTAATTTAAACTGAAACACCCGGCATTCCTATTCCTTCCTGCTTTAGGTCTGGTGCTTTCTCTGTGTGACAGAGAAATTAAATGCCAGTGTGTCAGCCCTCCATATGCCAGAGGTAAAATTCCTCCTGTCAGAGGGGTACAGAGTGAAACAGAGTGCCTGGAACCAATCTAGCAGCTGATGGATTTGTCATTTAGGAAGGGTAGAAGAATGGAAATCCTCTGTAGGAGCCTCCTTCATGGTCAAGGAGCTCAGCACAGGCAGATGCAGCTCCTGGGGCAGTCACTGGACACATGGATGTGCTGCCACTGACTGAAATAATACCCAGAGAAAAACTCCCCACTCCCTGGGTCTCTGGCACAGGGTAGGATGTGCCTGGTGCTCCATGAGCACTGTGTTTAGAGAGAGACAGCTCTTGCAACTGAGCACCTAAAGATAAATATGCCCCTGAAATCCCCTAAAAAAATATGTTGGTCCTATGGGCAAACAATACTCTGAAACAATGGAAATAATAAGATTAACAGGATGAATATTCAGCATTCCAAGTGAGGATCCTTTGAAATCCATTCGAGACAGAGGGAAAGGCATTTCAGTGCACCAGCATTCACCACATGTCACTGTGTAATTCCATGAATTTCTGTCTCGCCTTAATTTCAGGAAGACAATTCAGTAGCCTCTGGCTTCTATATTATTTTTTTTTTTCTCTTCTCATCTACTGACTAGCAGAGGCAGAAAAATAAACACACAACTAGGAGCTGTATTCACAGACAGGAAGTAACTTTAATTAAATATTGTGAAAGTTGAAAAGTTTTTACAGCTTGAATTTCTGCAAAAAAATTATAACAATCTCTACAGTAGTTAGTTTCTCTAACAATAGAACTGTACAGTGTGTGTGTCTATTCAAAAAGATTTAGATAAGAAGGTGAAAGGTTAGTAGTTTCAGAGATGACTTCATTTTAGCTGCATCCTAGTACAACTGTGAGGAAATAGGCATTACTTTATGCAATCCAGTCATTGTGAAGCTTCACCTTGTTAAAACTGAAATCTGAATGTTTCCACTTAAAGCCATATTCTGTAAACAGCTGCATCTTTTACTTTGTAAAAGACAAAGGGTGGTGCAGGGGAGATTTTTGACAAATTCCCATTGATTAGATCACGATAAATAGCTGCAAAAGAATGGAATTATGCACATTGCCAAAGGCTCTTTGGACACTGGAGTAGAGACTACAAATGTGGCTAAAGTGGTGTCAGAACTGCTAGGACTGAGTGGAGCTCTACAAGAGTAATTGATGGTGTCACTGGACAAAATATGGCTTTAAATTTGATTACATTGTCGTGCTGTTGCTTATTATGTGAATTAGAATAATCACTTGGAATACAGAGAAGCAATAAACTGATGTCTCTCACATTTTTTCCAGTTCTCTCTTCTTTTTTTTTCTCACCATGAAAAAAAAAAAAAAAAATCCTGTTTTTCTTTCCCTTCCCCCCAAAGATCACACTGTGACATTCTAGTGAAAACCATTGCAAAATTCATACAGGAAGCATGCACAGTTGCAGCATCGTTGTAAATGATTTCTTGCTCGACTAGAAAAAAGTTATATTGTTTTAAGGTAACAAAACAGTTCTTTTGTGCTTTTCAATTCCTTTTTTTTTTTTTCTTAGAATGTTAGTGATGATTGACAGTTCTGGTGCACAGTACAATGTACAAGTGAAATGAATATGATTTGCATTGTTAAGGCATCCAATCTGCTGGTTTATATTTATGTGAAAGACAGAGAAATATACAAGCAGACTTAAGAAAGAAAGTATTTTCATTGGGTTCTATGAAGTTTCTCCCCATATTTAATGCACAAAAATGCGTCACTCCAAAGAGGAGAAATCCCATGCATATTAATAGAGTAAAACAGCATTAGTTTTTGTTAAGCCTCAAAAGCAAAGGATACATTTTTTTTTAAAATCTACATAACTAAATGCTACAAGAATAATATGCTACTTTTTGCCATATATTGGAAAAAACTTCTTAACTTACAAATAATACAAAAATAGACAATGGCTTTTGGGTGGAAATTAAAAAAAAATGGAAGCATGGTTTTAAACAATACTAAAAAAAACAACCCTATAAATGAAATGTATTAAAATCACATTTAAACAGCTAATACAACGGTGAATGACCAAACAAATCAGCACTTTTCACATAGCAAACATACACAATAAAATAAACTTGTAGGGGACAAAAAGCAATGTACAAATTCCAAAGATAAATACATTATTTATATGGATATTTTACAAAATCCCCCGTAAAACAAACGAACAAAAAAAAACAGAAACAAAAAGCTTTTTTTTTCTTTAATTAATTTGCAAGTATGTGCAAGCTAAAGGTAGTGAGCTCTTTTTGCAAAATATGCAGTAAATTTTTTTTCTTTTTTGTGATATTGAAAAACTGTCTTAAGACGTTAAAATGTATAAATAGAACAACAACTTTGGCAAAAAATCACAAAAAATCTACAGTATTTATAACTACATACAAAACACAACAGCAAAGAAAAAATATCAGGTAATGCATCTTCAGAGCTTTGCTGCCTCTTTGACTAATAATTTTTAAGAACACTTCCCAGATAATGATAGCAAAATTTCTTTTTGTCGTAAAACAGAAGCTATGGTTTTGATTTGAAACCCCCCACCCCAAAGTCAAGTTTCACTACTCAAAAGCAGTTCCCTGTCCTGGCTGGAGCGTGGCAGAACTGGGAGGGTCGGCTGATACAGGAACGGGGCCAGTGGGAGCTGGGCCAGGAGGGGTTTGGGGTGGGGAGGGTCAGACCCCCCTGAGGCTGAGCCCATCCTGCCCAGCAGGGCAGGGCAGAGGGGCTGGGACCCCCGGGATGGCCCAGTCTGTGCCCCCCGTGCCAAACCCACAGGGGAGGCTGTGCCCGGGGAAGGGGAGCCTTGGGGGGTCTGAGATATCACCCCAAAGAGAGGGGTCCTGCTCACTCCTCCAGCAGCTCTGGCTCTGCACCTGCAGGCACTGGGTTTACACTTCCAGAGGAAACATTTTTGATATTTCCACCCCGACCTTCCCTTCCACCTGCTTTTTTTGCCAAGAAAAGTTGGACCCGAAGGTCCCCCTCCAACCTGGTGTTCTGGGATGAGCTTTTCCTCTTGGGTTATTTACACAATTTTGCAGCCTGATATTAAAGGTAGAGGTTACTAATCCCACCCCTCACCCCAGCCCTCATAATCCAAAAATATCAGCATTCTTGGGAGTGATATCTGTTTAATCAGAAGATTAAAAATGCTTCATATCAGCAAGTCACCACTGGATAAGCAACATATATGAGCCGACCCTTAATTAAATGGCCATAATTCTTCTATGAAAAACTAACTGGCACTTCTATTCTGTCCCATACAGGCTTGTATGCAAATGACACCACTTTATTCTTCTTTACACAGCTTTAAAAAAAAAAAAAGCATAAATTAAAAATGTGGAGTTCCATCTCTAGTGTCCCTTGTGTAATTGTATGATTTATAAAAGACAAATGGTGTTGAGTTAAATCAAGCCTTAAAAAAACCCACAAAAAAAAAAAAAACCCACAAAAAAAACTGGAATTGACACAAAAAACCCCAAAAACCCACAAAAAACCCAAACCCCAAAAAACCCCAAAACCCACGAAAAATAAAAAAACCCACAAAAAAAAAAAAAAAAAAAAAAAAAAAACACCCCCCCCCCCCCCAAAAAAAAAAAAAAAAAAAAAAAAAGTGGATTTTTTATCAACATACAATAAATATATCTCCCAGGTATTTGGGATGGACAACTTGAATCAACACCTTGCAATTGTGGATTGTTAATTTCAGTATTTGCAAGGATGGTGATTTTTCTTTTGTTTAAAAATCTGCAGTTATTGTAAGATCCTTCTTTATTTCTTTTTTATTTTTAAAAAGGCCTGAGTAAAAAGTTCCACTCTGGGACTTGTATCAGAAGCAGAATTCAACCTCTTCATTAATAAAATTCTTCAAGGCAATTCTTTCACATGGGGGGAACAATCATGCCAGATATAGCTGTTGGAAGGAAAGGGAAGGGAGAGAGAGAGGGGAAAAGTTAATTTTTCTGCATTATTAAGCAACTGTTATAATCCTCATAGCTTTAAACATTTACTTGCAATGTAGTCGATATACTTTGAGTTAAATTTATATATATCACTCATAAGAGACAACTATGTACACAAGAATCATGAAAAGTTTCCTTTTGACTGGAAAAAGATTCAAATTGCAAGTGACTTTGCTGAAATTACTGATTTTCCTGTAGAAAAAGTGCCCTCCCTCCATATCAGTATCAGACCCCAATTTATTTTTCTGCTTTTAGTTTCAAAATCCCCAAATGCTGAGGAAGCTTTGGCTCCACCCAGCCATTTCCACTCTTTCTGTTACTTTTAAAAGCAAAGCAGGTATTTGTACCAAATTAGGGAAAACAGCTGGAGTCATTCCCCTGTGCCAGCCCTCCCAAAGGTCAGTGCTCACCCCTGGGACTTATGTATGCATTTCCAGGAGCTCAGAAAAGGACTTAAACTCCCAAATCCAATTTTGAAATTGAAATACATGCTCAACTCCTGGGTTAGCAGGCCAGCATCTTTCCTTTTGCACCTGTAGTAGATGCCACCAACTCCATCAGTGAGTCAGAGGTGAATGTTAATTCAGGATGTTTTCTCTTTTGCTGGCTAAGTTGAATCATCAGCATTTCTTTATTATGCTTCCTACCTCATTTTCTATGAAACCACCACCTCTCTTAGCAGACAGATATTTATGAAAATTCAACAGGGACAGTTTTGCCCATAAATTGACCTCCAGCTCCATCTCTCTGTATTTACAGGGGTCTCAGATCAGACATCCCAAGTGTGCCAGTGACACACGGTGAGCAGGCACATCATTACAGGGGTAGTCATGGAAGTTTATGGTGGGAACTGTAAAAACAACGTGTCTCTAAAATGCCAGTTGCACAGTTATTTGCCAAAAGGTAGAAAACAGATTCGCCTTCAGGTTGGCAGCACTTTCCAGGCACATGATTTAAATGCTGCCTGCCATTCCAGACATCTGGACATGTAATTTCTTAAGGAAGGACTCACCCTTGTGACTGGTGCTGATTCATTGTGCTTTAATTACAGCTGCAATTATTTGATAAGAACAGAGCCAAAGTAAAAGACTCACAGATTTGGGGTTGGAGGGGGAGAGGAGGGAAATGTTTTCTCCACAAACACCACCATATGTGCAAGAATTACAAGTCTAATCAGCAAGGGGAGAACAGCTCGAGTAAACTGCACTGATTAAATGAAATAAAACGAGGGGAGAAGGAGAGAATGCAAAACACATCCAGCATGTTTGCAACAGGCCACCCTCAGAGGTGGCACATTGCACCAGCATTTCAGTTATTGGAATTTATCGTGTGGAATCACTGTACTGATTGTGGCTCCCCACATGAGGGTTCTTCAAGGAGTAAGTGAGGATAAAAGGGATAAAAAGGTGAGTTAAGTTGATTTAAGTCCTACAGGAAGATAGGTGAGAAGCATAGAGAACTCTTTAGGACAAGGTATTGCTTTCTTTTAGAAAAAAATATCTTTTCTTCAGAGAATGTCACGATATTATTCTAATACTCAATCTGAAAGATTCATCAGAAGCAAATCAATTTCATCAATAATTGGTCAAGAATTGTGTCTCTTGGGACAGGACAGCTGTCTACCCTGGGTAGGAGCCCAAAAAAGGTGAGATAATTGCAGTTCCTCCCTTTATGATTTAGACATTTCCCTGTGGTTACAGATCAGCCACGTACCTTCTGCTATTAGAAACAAATGGCACAGAGGCAGATCTTAGCTCCTTTTTTTTTCAAAGCATCATTGTTTTTGAAGAGCTCTGAAATTCTGAATTAAATTACAAGGCAAATGATATCTTTTCTGCCTAAAAGCTTTGATATTTCCATTCTTTCCAAGTCTTCATTTAGATCACTCCACTTTTATTCCATAAGTGCTACATCTAGTCATGCAAATTCTCCCAGCTGTAGCCTGTTATTGATCCTGAAAACAGAGATATCAGTGGGAAACAGTGCAGGTATGAGATCACACCACCTCCAAAAAGGGAGGGCAGAGAATAGAAAAGCTCCCACCAATGGCCTTTATTTCTTCTATCATATACTAATTTGTATTTGCTGCCAGCAAATTACAGAAATAATGTATTTGGGGTTTTACAAAATTGCATGGCAAAGAGAAAAACAGATAAGCCTGGCTGCTGTTTTAGTGAGTTCTGCTGATATCTAAGCTACATAAGGAAAGCTTGATTGCTTTCTGATGTATCCAGAAGCCCAAGAGAGATAAGACAGCCTCCTTATACATGGTTGTTTATTTAAGCATTAAGGCACAACAGGCAGTGCATCTCTGAGTGATTATTACAAGCCTCAGGTGGTGTCAGGAGGCACAGGACCAAAGGCTGTGTGCCTTTAACTCACCAAGAAGTTCAGCGATGACCTAGAAATGAACCATCTCTTGGAGTCTCATTCCTATTATGAAAACTGAATTGCTAAACAAAAATTAGGGGAAATGCTCAGATCTGTGTGGTTTCTGGGCACTGCAGATGTGGAGGTGACATAATGAGGAGGCAATCAGACAGCTCCAGGTGTGTCCAGTGCTCTCGGCTCATTCCATAGTTGCTTTTCATAACTGAGTACACAGAATCTGAGAATTCTGTGTCTTGTGAAAGGAGAAACAGTGCCTGAAAAAGATTTCTCCTGTTACTTGTTTTTTATCTCCATCCACAACAAGATGGGACAAGGTGAAGAGATGAAAACAATGCTAACCTGTTGAAAAGCTTGCTATTTTTAAAATTATTTTCAGTTTGTTTTTTTTTTATTTCAGAAGGGAAATATTATTAGCTGTTTTTTTTTTTAAACTTGAAGCATGCCAGCACTGCCAATTCTTTTAAATGAAAATCAAATCTCCTAAATGCTGTAGTTTACCTGAAAATTTCATTTTGTCTTATTCCTGACACAGTTTGTATTTCTAACAAAGTCCTAACTGAAGGTACCCAAGATCTGCTTATTAGTTCCTAGTCAATTTAAAATTTCTGCACAGTTTTTCTGTGTGTGGGTGAACCTTGAAGGATTCCTCCTGCCAGTTTACCAGTGTAACATGCACTGAGGACAGTGCTTTCCTTCAGGCACAATAGATCCAAGCTTTTATGAATTAATTCCTTCCATTCTGCTTGCATATAGATTTTTTTTTTTTTTTTGGCTGCTAATGGTACTATCAGCATTTTGTCTTCAAGCCCAGTGTTCCTCTTTCCAGAGGCTGAGTGACATGTGGAGTTTGTGCAACCATCCTGCTCTGCACACCTCCTTCTGAACCTGGCTTAAAAAAGGATAGATTTTATTCCTCACCCGATGCCCTTTGGATAATTTGCACAGGCTCATGGAAAGGAAACAAATCTCAGGTCTGGAGGAAGCACAATGCACAGCATGGAATATTTCCCACCTCTGGCAGCTGGAGGCAGCTGGCTGCATCTGCTTAAGGAAGCCCCTGGATCTAAGCAAGCATGAAAATGCCTCTCTCAGCACGGTGATGTGCAGTGAGGGAACCACACGGGGAGGTTTGGGCATGGTGTAAAACAGACTCAGCCAAACAATGAGATGGGCAGTGCTGGGCTTTGCAGCACCCTCAGTTTGACATGATTTTCTCTGTCACTGCCTCGCCTGCACCAACCCTTCAATGGATTTAGATACTAATGCTGGAGAACTTGTAATGAGAGGGGAAGGGATGCAGAAAAGGAGCAGCCCCTTGATACCAACAGTTCAATAGGCTTTCCAAAAGGCCCCGTGCCTTTTCTGGAATGAATTGGCACAGGAGTACATTAATCAGTGGAAACTAATGTTTGCCCTGGTGTGAGTTAAAGTAGAAAATGCTGCTGTTAGTTTGCAATGCATCTCCTGTTTGTGAAAGGGGAGGTTTGTGCCAAGCTCTGTAACGCTCTATTTGCTCTCAGTAGGATTTCTGCACAAGTGTACTATGACAAAGGACAAAAAGGAAGGGAAGATTGAGTGACGTACTTCAGGAGAAGGCCAGCCCCTGGAGAGACCCTGCAGTGGAGTACTTGCTAGAGTCCACAAAAGACTGGTCTGATAAAGGACGACAACAGGGAATAAGAGAGGAAAGAAAGAAAAAGGACGGTATTAGTAAGCTGAAATATTACTTGTGTTTATCAAAACAGTAGGTCTGTGCTTTAAAAGACACAGCCTCTCAATTCAGCAGTATTAGCTGGGTTAGAGATGGGGTGGTTGCCAAACACCTGCAGGCTCCAGGGTGGGCTGGGGGTGCAGTCAGTTACTCTGTGCAGGAGGAAAGTTTAGGACAGAGCCCACCAGGGATCCCCCATTGCCTTGGCTGCCCTGGGGCAGCTGGGAGCAGCCACCTCCTGTGCTTCCACCTACCTTGCAGGCTATTGCCATTGGTGCTGGTGCAGGTGGGAGGGGGGGAGGTTTGGGGTCTCACGACAGGCGCAAACGCACTCTTCTGTTTCACCGCTGAGACCATGTTGGCTGGTGAGAAGGAGAAAATCCCGGAGGAGCTGCTACAGTTGGAGGGGAGGCTAGTGGAGGAGGCCATTGTTGGACTTGATGGCACAACTGGAGGGAAGAAAGACCCCCAAAAAGGCATTCCTTAGAACTCAATGATAACAGGTTGCAGAAACAAGAGAATTCTCATTCCTGGATGCTCTAGATTCTTTTAGGGATGAACTGACTGTTCAGAATGCAAATGTGCTACATGGGAATTTCAGTAAACCATTATTTGACTATAAAGTGCAACAAATATCTTTGGTTCATGTATTTACCGTCAAGCTTTTAAACAAATTTCTTTTCATTAAAATAAGCTACTTTAATATTCAGAAGGCAATGCTGGTTTCCCCTCTTATTCAACAACAACAACAAAAAAAGGACCAAATGTGACATCCCATTCTTTGTCCTGTTTAGAAACTGCTTAGTTATACAAGTGGCTGTGAATAATTACATATTATAGAGTAAAATTCTGATCATCTGGGCTTTGAATTATTATTTTATTTGCATTTATGTAGATAAAAATTACCCTATTTAGGTTCTTATTTGAGAATCTGATATCATATTTGTTAACACTGAGGAAATCAATTAATGGAAATTAAATGTTCAAAGTTTCACAGTCTGACAGATACAATCTTAGTCTGAAGTCACTCTGTGTCTGGAAGTACTTGCTAAGGGAGAGCAATCAAAGCACCTAAATTGAATTGCTACTATACAGCAATTAGTTTATTGATTTAATTAAGAATGCCACCTTTTAATTTTCAGGTCATGATTGAAGCATTTTCTGATTCAATGGATTAGACATTAGCAGAATGACAGATCAACCAAGAAAATCTCCCAAAATATAAACAGAATAGAGAGTCAAGGCTAGGAAGTGAAGTGCTATTCTAAAGAGGACTCCGTTCATAAATATGAAATAATACACTGCCACAGTATTTTAAATGCATTACTGGCATCTGCTTCCAAAAGGAGATGTCTCATCAATCATGTTATATTATGAATTCAGAGTGTGCAGATTCTGTGACAGTAAATCCAACTTAATAAGTAAGGTACTTTGTAACATTACATGTTACATTATTATTAGAGTACAAAAATAATCACTGGTTAGCAATTCTCAGGTTATAAATACTAGTTATGTGGGTAAATAATTTTTTCTAAATTTGCAGCAGAGGAGAAGCCTTGGAGTTGAGTATTTTATTCAGAGTTCTTATTCCCTTTTTTATTCTGATGCAATTCAAAATAATTCATTGCTGCTGTTACACCATTAGTTTCAGATTTGCTGTGTAAACCTTGGTACTTGCAGCAGTCGGTTTGTCCTGTCCATGCTACAGTCACAGCCTATAAATCTATTTATGTGTCCAGACCTTCCATCCTGATTCTGCTGTCAGCTTCCTAGAGATGTCAGTGGAATCCTTTATGCCTCATGAGCAATGTCAGAGGAATTGGGCAGGTCCTGCTCATTCAATTTCTCATGTGACCGGGAGCTACTGAGCTCAGCTGCAGAAAAGGTTCACTTTACCAATAGAAATGTATTTATATGCCAATAGAAATGTATTTATATTTAAACATCTTACTAAACCTTTAATATCAAAATGCAGAAAGTTAGTCCTGCACATAAATATTTCCATGACTGGGACTGTAGACCATAAGCTCTTCACACCATGAGATGTATGATTTGTATGACTCACATTTTTGTGTCATTCACTGTACTGACACTAAAACACAAAATCTAAGAGCCTTTGTCACATTTTACTGACTCAGTGAAGTTAAAGTAATATTACTTAAAAAGCAAGTGGGATATAAACAATCAAGCTGAGGCCCAGTATTGATCTGTAATTTTTATAAAGGTTATGGATGTATTATTTGCTGAGAAGTTGAGGACAGTGTTTCTTATTAGAGTATAAGGTATGTGTTGAAACTATCAGACTAAATCATGAGAGATTATCCTTTGTAAGCTCTTTTAAGGCTCCCAAATAAAAGAAAATAATAATAATAATTAATAATAGTAATATGAAAACAGAGAGGAGGATTTCTGGCTACACTGAAGTCCTCAAAGTGCATCAAAGATCAGTGCTTTGGACAGGAGAGAAAAGACCAAGTTCTATTTCAAGTGCTCAAAATAGAAAATAAGTACTGAGCATCAGAGAAAATCTACCGCCTCCTTCTAATGAAAATGTGCAAAATGCAGAAAAGACATAAAATACTCACTGGCATAGGGAGAATTGGCAGCAGATCCATTCAGGAAGGTTGGAGAACCGCCTAAATTTGACATTCCAGCGTTCCCATAGCCATTCATGCTTGTTGTGACAGAGTTGTAGTTTGTCTGCTGCGGGGTGGTGCTTGGCACGTAGCCATGAGGTGACACACTGCTGGAGTTGCGAGTGAAACCTTGCGTGGGGAGGGAACACAGGCAGAAATTGGAATTAGCCCCACAGCAGCTCCCTACACAAACCAAGGGGGAGCTCAGTCCAGCCAGGGAGTGCAGAGAGGGACAGGACTGACCCCCAGCAGCACCAGGTACCCACATTGGAGCTGTCCCTGCCCAGGCTGATGCAGAAGGAGGGAGTTGGAGCCTGCAGAGCTCCCCAGGCAACCCAGGGATGCCCTGGAGCAAAGATCAGCTCGGGGTGGCAGAGGAACCCTCGCTCTGAAAGGGCTGCTTGTAGCAAATGGATAAACACGACCTACATTTTCAGAGTGAGGAGTCCAGACCCACTCAAGGTATGTTAAAAGCACGTGATTGTTGTTAACTCTGTTCTGATGTCGCTGGCATTTAACACACCTCAGATGCTCACTGCACACTTCAGGAAACAGAGTGTATTTCTCCAGCTTGTGGGATATCCTTTGTCTTTTTGCCTTGGTATCATTATGTCAGTGGGAAATGAGCATCAAATTTGACAGCAAGTTAAAATTTCAATCTCTACCTAATTCTGGAAATGACATTTTAGGAAACTCATATCCAAATATTCATAAGGAAAGATTTGTTTCTAGAAGCCACAGAAATACAAAATATGCATCTTCACTCCTAGAAGAAAAAAATGCCAATTTTTCTGCCTAACACACAGCATAAAATATTTCAATCTAAAAATAATTTTGTGTTTTTTTATTGTAATGCAAAAAAATTTGTTTCTGCTCTTCTAGCAACAGCCTCATCCTAACACTTTCTCATTCAAATGTATTTTTAAGTTGGGTAATATATAGAGCTGAGCAAAGGAGAGGGCAAAATGCAAAGAGCTTTTACAAAATTGTTCTTCACCTTTTTTTTTTATTTTTAACTTTTATTTTAAACCAATACTGATTTTATAATAAAAACACTTTATTTTAAATATTCAATAAGCTCTGAAAATGTCTTTCTAAATATTTGTATTCTTTGCTAGTTGAAAAATTTATGAAAGACTCAAACTCTGAAAAAAACACAGTTCCAATACTCTATCTCTTGCAAAACAAACCCAAATTAAATAGATAAACATTAAAGGGATAACTTCATATTATAATAAGTGCTACACAAAGCCCAGACTGAGAGATCATCCATGCTCAGGAAAATATATAAGCAAGTACTTAACGTTAAGTACATGCTGAAGCTGATTAAAATTAGTGGGATTTAAACACAAAGACAAGCGATGCTCTGGGCAGAATGAAAAGCTATTTAGAGACAGGCAGCAGCGCTTTTCCCGAGTTAGGGCAGCCCCATCCTGTGTCATTCCAAGGGTCTGGGATGGGCCGCCCAGCCCTGCTCCAGCACTGAGCCATCCCTCTGCCACTGCTCCGCACACCCCCTGACTTCTATCAGAAAAGATCCACAGAGAGAGGAAGATGAGGCTTCTGCTGACCCTGGTTGGTGGCTTGGGAGGCTTCGGAGACATTGACAGCGAGCTGGCCACTGAAGGAATTCACTCCCATCATTCCCGCGTGGACGGAGGTGTTGGCGAGGGCGGGGAGCTGGTTGTGGTTGCGGGGGACGCTGTAGAGCGCTTCGGCGATGTCTGCAGCTCTTTTCAGGATTATTTCCTGCAGGATAAGGAAAAAAAAAAACATAGCAGAGTTACCAAAGAGACTCTGACAAACCTCTTCTTACAGACTCAAATGAAACATTTCCCTGTCCAAAGGAGATGCTTTTCTTTCTAAACCAGCTGGCTGACAGAGAGTTCATGCTTATAGGATCTTCCTGTTAAATCCTGACATCTGTGCTAAGAGAGTTGGAAGTCTCTGTCCCAGTGGCCACACTTTGTATAAAAAGATCAACTGGCAGGATGGGGCTGGAGCCTGGGCTGGATCTCTTTAGGGGAAGATGGAGAAGTCACTGGTGGCAAGACATAATGTACAACATTGCTCATATTATATAGGATCTGGTGAAAGTGGGCGGATGCCTCCATGGTGTTTTTACAAACACTAAATTCACACCCTTTAAAAAATAAAACAAGCGAACTAAACCCCCTCCAGATATGGCATTGCCCTCTACATTTATTCTTGTCTCCCATTGTAGCATCATATCCCTTTAGCCCCTGACCTATCTATACAGCCAAGAAATAGCCATGATATAGAATTGCTGAAGTAGAATGCATTTACCTGGTTATTATGTGGCATACCATAGAGTGCTTCTACTAAATCAGCAGCCCTCTTAAGTATTACTTCCTGTCAATATAAAAACAGAAGCATTCTGCTGAGTTCAATAAACTCCTTGTCGGGAAAACAAATATTCTCTTCTATTAGGTGCACCGTGTTTTGTAGTGTTTTTTTTTTTTCATTTTTCCTCCCACCAGGTAAACCTTAATTGTAACAACTCTCAGCAACCACTGAATGGTGTTAAATCACTGGTTCATCCTATTCACACACACGCTTAATCAAGTCAAAAGGTGAGAATCATTGGTGCTGCAAAATAAAATACATCACTCAATTGTCTCTACCATCTGCACTATAAACCACTCATGGGTTTATTGCAGAATACAATCCCGAGGTCATTTACTAGATTACTGCAATCAATGTCATTCAGAGAATGTTATGAATCCCTTCAATGTGTTTATTTTATTCTTAATTGCATGCTGCAGGAATTGTGGCCTTACCCAGCAGGCCACCTTCAGAATATACCCAATCAGTCCTGCTGCTGTAATGTGACCCTTTGGCCTCTTCAGTTTGTGTCCTGGTACCAGGGGTCAGGGCAGGCATGGAATGATGCCCAAGAGGAAAACACATGCAGCGTGTGAGAGAACAGCCCAGGACCAGGCAATAATTCCTGGAAATATTCCTTGCATGGACAGCAGACTTTAAAACAGTCTGAGATTCAGTTCTCCATTTCGGGCAATTTTTTTCCCTCCATTTTCTTATTCATTCCTTTTCATTTAATGTTTCTTATGGTATTTTATACTGGTATTCAAGTAACAATAGTATTTCCTGTGTTCTTATATTTTAAAGCATCCTGATGATAATTCTGATAGAAAATATAAAAATGCATTGCAGAATTACCACAGAAGAATTTTTTCCCCTTATTATTTCATGGCATCTTTCAGAGCAGATTCCCAAATGCCCAATCAAAACCGGTCAAGAACATGCTTTGAGTAAAACATTGTATTTTTGTAGTTCCCAGCTCTAAAGTACTGCTCTAATATTCTAACATGACGCTATTCTCTGTGGCATATTTCTGCAAGCAGCTTACAAAAATAGTACCAGTTCTAAGCATTTTACAGTTTTCTACAAAGTTAAACTTTTAAACTTAAAATATTTTACACAATAGCCATATTTTATACCAAAAAGAAACAGTAATGCTCAATTTTCATATACTGTAGACTCTGATCAGAAAATAGAGATATAATTGCATTCATTTTGCTGTCACCATAACCTCTTCAAAAATCCTTGAACAACTCTTCAAATGACAAGCTTTTAGATGCATATTAGCATTTTTTTTCAATTTTAAATTCTCTATAATATAACATAAAATAGTTGTCATACTGCAGTAACTACTTATGACATATATAATGTCCTAAATTCAAAAATGAGATGGAGGATTTTTGTTCTCCCAGTAAACATTTAGGCTTGCCTTCTGCTGCACACACCCCTGTCTCAGAACACACATTTAAATTATTTTCCACATATGAAGTGAGATGTAATACATAATTGATGGATTTTTAAATCACTACACTTGAAACAGATTCTGAGGAGTTAAGTTGCTACAGCCTTTTTCTGTTGATGGGTTTTGTTTGTTCCGTTCATTTGATTGGTTTTTAAGATTGGGGTGTTAAACCCAACTGCAAGTGTTGGTTTGGGGTGTTTCTTTCCTTGTTTTTTGACAGCATGGTCAAAAATCATGGACAGACAGACACAAACAGCATCCAGGTACAAACAATCCTCATTCCTCACAACACTGAGGTGCCTTTTCTGCCTCACACTGAAAATTCAAACTAGAGAAGAACAGAGACATTACTGAAAAAATGTTCTCTTTTTCAGTTCATGATTTTAGATAGAAAATGACTGCACAGGTGTTTGACTTTGCAAACCAGGATTTATTTCACTTCAGTAGAAATTGTTTGCAGTATATATTTCACTGATGGAAAATTAGAATGTAATACAGAGCCCACAAACTGCTTTGGTATATTGTTAACCTAAGCTGTCATTATGCCAAATTACTAAAAAAAAGAAAGTTTAAATAGTCATTTCTGCTCTACCTGACTAATCATAGTTATTTATATAATGCTGAGCTAAAAACGTTAGAGTGCATCTAAGAAGAGATTGAAAACCGTGTTAAAAAATGAGGTAATTACATAGAATCTTACAGCTGCTCTCCTTCATATCAAATATATTTCAGTTCTTAAATACTGGAAGTTCTTTGATGCCATATCATATTGCATGTAAATAAAACTAATTGTCATGATGGTTTATTGAAACATTCCCGACAAGCAGCATTCAATTTTCTTAGCTAGGCAATGATTCTATTTTTTTTTTCAACATTTTCAGGGTCTGTAAATTTGAGTTTCATACTTTCTCTAACAATATTTTCACACAAGAAAAAAAATTTCTTGTTTATGACATTTTCAGATCATACAAAGTAGATGTTACAAAAAAACCCTCCTGTGTCAAATAGTGGTATCTTCTATTCCAGAGCTGGTGGTACTTTTTATAGCTTTAACCAGCTTTAAAAATACACAATAAAATGCTGCTAAAGACAGGCTTAAGATATTAACTTCTTGTTTTCTGAATGCATCTTAAACCTTTTGCAGCTCTGCCTAAATTGCAATAGAAGCTGCTCCACATACAAAGGAGCCCCTGAAGTCCTCCATGAGTTAGAGCAGCAGACCTTGCAAGGTGCTTGGATTGCGGTGACCAGAAAATTGTTCTCACCTCCGTGTCATTACGCTCACAGTGAAGCAGCCCCCGAGCATGTTTGTGTTCGGGATCTAATATATTGCCTTTCAATCAGAGCTGAGAGCCACTGAACACATAGACAGAACATGACGAGCGGGTCAGGAAAGCAATAAAGATTTTACAGAGCTGTCCAAGGTGCTAAATTTACTCAATAATGGGTTTGGCACCATAGTGTTAACCTCTCATTTACTACCAGTTTGAGGGACTAAATTGAAGTAGCTGACTTCATTTACCTTGAAATGTATATTTTATGACATTATGTAAGTAGATTGAAAGGGCACTGCAGTTTTAACAATTTAAAGGCTAGAGCATGTTTAAGATGAAGCTTGAATATTTATCGTACATTGCACTTAAACTATATTGTATATTAAAATGCATTGATTAAATTTGTAAAAGGTATTATAAAAAAGGACAGCTAGTATAAGAGATCTATGTCTTTTAAAATCCAATTGATACTGCACGTTACCACTGAGATGATAACAGATAAACAGATAGAGGGGGGGACAGAGAAGCAGACAGAGCAAAAAGTGAGTGAAACTAACATTCTACAAAAAGAAATCTCTGCATAAGCTCAAGGTCTGCTACTCCAGATATTCTTTTGTTCACAGATATTTTTCTTGCCCTTCATCTCTGAAGCCTAGATTTTCATAGCAGTAAGTGGTCATCATGTAAGGTCCTTCCAACTGAATATGCAAGTGGAAATGTTTCCTGAGAGAGACAGAGTTTGACTAAAGCTAATATCTAATTTATGGGGGCATTTGTCAAGAAAGATCCACTTTTCCATTACTGCTAAAAGTCTGACAGCTTTGGGTTTAGAATCAAGGACTTAGCAGCATTTAGCTAGACCTAGTGAGGGTTTTCTTTTTTTGTATTTTGTTTCAAATGAGAATAATTTTATTTCTCTAAAAATCCCAGATGAGGAAATATTGAGAAAAGGAAAGATTATTTTAGTAATTAAATACTATACATCAGAACTCTGCAGTCCAAGAATCTGTACACCAAAAAAACATAGTCCACTTTTACTCTAAACTGAAGCTGATTTTCTACTGAAGGATTTTTGCTTTTTTAATTTTTGAAACAGGCTCACAATTAAATATTTTGATCAAATCTTCCTCCTGAAGATACTAAAGAGTGTCTACATACTCAAAGGAAGGGCTGAGCAGTAAATTCTATTGCAGCTTTGCATATCCTCATACTACTGTAGAAAAAATATTATAAGTAATATCAGAGTAACTGCGCTTTTGAAGCACAAAGACTGAAATTCAAACTGAATCCACTTCTGACTGAATGTACCTCGAATACTACAGCAACTCAACATATTTTGTTGGAGGCCTGCATTCCTTTCAGAAGTATTTCACTAAGAACATGAAACTTTCATTTCAATTTTTATCATGATGCAAACACTTTGTGTCAAGACGTATCATGACAAACACATTTTTTGTTAGTTTTAAAAGAGATGAGGTATTTCTTCTTGTGACATCTGCTTACTTTTTATTCAGAAACTCTTGAAAAAAAATCCACTCTGTGTCCCAAAAGGGCTGTGAGTCCGGTGAGATAAAGGTATCTTGAGTTACACTGATTTGTTCAGCTTAAGTAACTAAATTAGATAATGTTCAAGGTACTTGTTAAACCGAAATGAATTTTGTCAAGAAGAAGCTGACCACAATATATAACACTCACCAGCCACATATTGTATTATTGAGACCACCAAAGGATTTATGAACTCATGGAGGGCGTGGGGGGGAAGCTGTTCCAGCATCCTCTGAGGCATTTATCTTATGTGTTGTCTGGATATCATATCACCTTCTAATGCTCTTTAGCATTGTAATACAAGAGAGAGCTCATTCATCTTCTGAGAGGGTACTTAGGGATGATGATGTCATTCATACTTTCTTGACTCTTATGTCTGACCTCCTGCCTTTGCCTTCTAACTTCCTACTCTCATGGCTACTCGCAAGAAAAAAAAACCCTCTGCAGACTTGAAATGCTCAGCATCAGACTCCAGTTCACTTCTTCACCTTGGAAAGGTCACATTCTGAAATTTCTAGTCAAAACCACAGTCATTTGTGCTCAAACTTTCCCCTTGGTTTTCAGTTGGTGAAACAATAAATGTGATAGTTAAGTTTTTAACTTACACTTGAAATTTGTGCATGCATTATACTTTAAAAGATAAAATTGTGAACACCTCTTTCAAATTTAAAGGCAAAACCAAGAGAAACATTTACAAGAATGCCAAAGATCTAAAATGCCAAACATTGAGCTTGGTACACAGGAGCTTC